TATACTAAAGGCATAACTTAAAAAATCCCTATAAAAAATAAGTTTTAATTATAATTTTATCAACTTTTCAAATAAAATGTAACATATGTAATTGATATTAAAAGTAAATTTTATTTTTATAATTTTTTATATAAATTAATTATAAAATTTTATAAAAATTTAATAATAAAAATACAAAATAAATATCCTTTTAAAATATAAATTAAAAATAATTTATTTTAATATTAATATTAATAATAGGTTCACTATTTTAATTAAATAATTTATTAAATTAAAATTAACTTTTATTTTCTCATAAAAATTAATTTACTTTACCAATTTGAAGTAATTTAATGATTAAAAATTTTAAATTTTAAATTTTAAGATAAAAATTATTTTTTCATATATAATCCATCATTATCTAAAAAAAAAAAATTAATTTACCTTACCTACCTTGACGGGCTTAACATGTGCCGCAGGCGCAGATTTGAAATATTGTATTTTTTTCCTATCCCTTTCAGTCAGGCCCCACCCCAGCTCTAGTATTATGTAGGCCCACCAAACAACAACTCTGTCTATCAGGCCATATAAGAAATCTTTAAGGCCGGCCCAATGCAGAACCTTCTAGTTTTCTGTTTTATTGGTAAGTTTTTTCTTCGTTTTCTTGCATGATTACATTACTTTTTTTTTTTTTTTTTTTTTAATGGTTGGACCATCCCCGGCCAAAAAAAATAATTGAACCATCAAAAGAAAAACGAAAACACGACCACAAAAATCCAAAAAGAAATATATTATATTTTTTTTTTTTAATAAGGGGAAATTTTGAAGAAAATGTATGAATAATTTTGTTAAGGATATTAAGAATGTAAATTTTGCACTTTTTTATTTAAATACATTAATTTTATTAATTTTTAAATAATGATACCAATTTTTAATTTTTTTTATTTAAAGATATTAAACTTTCAATTTTTTCTATTTAAAAATGTCAACTTTTAATATTTCAAATAACAAATCCAATTATCATGTTAGTATTATTATTCAATTAATTTTTAAATAGAAAAAATTAAAAGTTAATATTTTTAAATAAAAAAATAATATTCTTAAATAAAAAATTAAAAATTGACAATCTTATTTAAAAATTGACAAAATTAACAATTTTAAATAAAAAAAATCTAAAATTTACATTTTTATTTACCCCTTTTCTCAAGAATTTTGAGAGAAAAATTATTACGACAATTTTAATAAAAACTTAAATCTTAATATAAATTAAGATATTTAATACATATTACTAATTCACCAAAAACTATTAATGCAAAATATACTATATTTTTTTTTTGAACATATTTTTGCAAGGGG